CAGTTGGCCTCGGCCCATTGATCCAGCCTGTCCAGATCCCTATGCAAGGCCATTCTACCCTCAGTAGATGAGTACTCGGTACCCTCAGTAGGATGAGTACTCATAATGAGTACAGGCCTGAGGATTTCTGAAGAGCATAACACCTATCCTGCTAGACTACAGTGTGAACGAGGCTTAACTGCTTCACCATAAGAGATTACTTATCTATACGTGCCAGAGCTGCTTTCTAGTTTAGTGAGATGCTGGAAGTATAGACAGGCTAGTCTGAGAGCATTCAGAACTTTATGTGTGCTAAGCATTTACACATTCAATGCATAAAGCACTGTAATGAGGTCAAGCGGCCGTTCAGACTTGCTGTGCTCTGTAGCAGAGGAGAATAGGAATTGAAAGCTGACCAAATATCCAAAATTACGGGACCTAGATGATATTTTATTGCTTTCTGTGCTTTGGTAGTACTGCCAGGATGGAAGGAGGGAACTGTTGCCTTTAAGTGTGATATTGTTACTTTACAATTTATTGTTTGATTCTGTGCTTTTTGCAGGTATCTCCTGATAACAGTAGGTGTTGTCTATGTCAAGTCATTTCCACAGTCCAGGAAAGATATTTTGAAAGACCTGGTGGAGATGTGCCGTGGAGTACAGCACCCTCTTAGAGGCCTCTTTCTTAGAAACTATCTCCTGCAGTGTACCAGGAATATCTTACCAGATGAAGGCGAACAAACAGAGTAAGAAAGATGGACTGTAACTTAAACAATTACTGTTTTTAACAGAACGTACTAAATTTTCTGTATGACTTCAGGTTTGAGAGAAGTAGATACGTTAGAACTCTATAGACTTGGCAGGTGTTTTGTCCATTAAGAATTCCCTTCCAGAACTAAGGTTTCTCACAAGTGAGGATATGAATCTTTCTTATGAACCCAGATATCTCACCACACACTTCCCTACCCTCCTACCTTCTAAAAAATCAGGTGTTCAGCAGCGGATGGAAGGATGAATACCTCTGACCAGCTTTTCCTGTTCCTAACCTGTTCTCAATTGCAGTGAAGAAACCACTGGAGACATCAGTGATTCAATGGATTTTGTGCTGCTGAACTTCGCTGAGATGAACAAACTTTGGGTGCGAATGCAACACCAGGGCCATAGTCGGGACAGAGAGAAAAGGGAACGAGAAAGGCAGGAACTGAGAATCCTAGTAGGAACAAACCTGGTTCGCCTCAGTCAGTTGGAAGGTGTTAATGTGGAGCGATACAAGCAGGTGGGATGTCTGTCCATCCTTTCTGATTTCTGTTACTTTTTCCAAATGAAATCAGTTTGGGCTTTCAGATAAGCAGCTTGAAGTGTTACAGCTATGCTAAAAGTTCAGTAATCCTGGTGCTTCTTGAACTCTTCACCTGAGGAAAAGTTCTGGATGCTAATGAAGCTGTGTAATGTGTTGTGAGGCTAAGGCCATGACTCGTGCATTTTTCCTATAAGCTTATCTGTAATGTTGACAAGAAATTCTAAAGCTTTCCATCCTGATTCCCATTTTACTTACAGAATAATGAGTTGGTTTAAGGGATGTGTACACATACAGTGTCCTGTGATAGACTTTACAAGTTAAATTTAAGCTGTGCTTCCCAAAGCATTCAAGAGAACTGTTACTGCATGAAATAAGTCAAGCAAATATATTTAGAAGTCTGTCCCTTGTTAGGTTCTGCCATATAGTTGCTGAAAACGATTTTGAGCGGTACTGCTGAGACCCTGAGTAGTAGTATGTGCCAGCAAAGCTAGTAACACTGACTTACTAAATCAAAGCTTGCAGGTTGTATAATGTTCGAAAGGGATAGATGTCTGAGACCAGTAGACTTTTTTTTTTCTCTCTGAAGGATGGAACTGCTGAAAACTGGGACGACTTATCAGAAACCCTTTATGTAAAGAATAAGCTGAGAAATGCTAGAAATACTGCTCTGCTTGGATTAAATGCATATGTGTGAATATAAACTTAGAAAGTAATTGTAAAATCACTGCAAGACTTTTTGCTATTCCAGATTGTTCTACCTGGAATATTGGAGCAAGTTGTAAACTGTAGAGATGCTTTAGCTCAGGAGTACCTCATGGAGTGCATCATACAGGTGAGCTGCTAAAATTCAATTGCAGGGGTGGGACAAAGGGACACTTACTCCTATACTTTTAGTCAACTCAGGCTACTTTCACCTCTTCCTCATGAACTGGAAAACTCATCACTGGGACTCTTACATAGTGGCTTGTCTGGTATTTTTTTTACCAGGTGGGCAGAGTGGAGATGAATCCATTTTGGGCTTCTTCTGTTGCAGAAGCTTGTAAGCATCTGAGCAGCAGTGCCTGCAGTATGAAGTGTAATAGACAGCTGGGTCTTGCATCTCTTGCTTCATGCATTTAGCAAGTCAATGTCAGCTTGGGGAACCCTAAAGCATTCGTAGGCCAGACAGTGTTTACTATGTGGCTATCTGCTTTAAAATTACTCTGTTGCATTTTACTGCTGTGTAACAATTGGCAAATTCAGTTTATAACTTGATGACTATTGATCTAAAACTTCAGGTTTTCCCAGATGAATTTCACCTCCAAACCCTGAACCCATTTCTCAGAGCCTGTGCTGAGCTGCACCAAAATGTGAATGTGAAAAATATAATTATTGCTTTAATTGACAGGTGAGTGACCAAGGGGGTGGAAATTGGCTCAGAATTAAGTTTGTGTTGTGCACAAGCAGATGATAACTCTTTAGCATTTGAAAGCTTTCAACTTTTGTTACCACTTAACTTCACTGTTTCTGTGTCTTTTTATGAGCTGTAACTAAGGCTGTGAAGAAGATTATTTCTATAGCTTCTGCTCTCTGGACTCTGCTTTTACAGCTTCTAGTGAAACCTGCTTTAAGAACTGATTAAAACTTGTAAACAGGTTAAGCCAGGAAACAACCCATTTAGTATTGACCATTTTTGTGTTTCTGAACTAAAGTGGCAGCAGTGTTCTGCTTTCACAGCCATATCAGTCACAGGTACCTCTTGAAAACTTGAAGATTCTAATGGCTAAATCATATATCAAGGATACTTTACCTTGCAGTTGTGATCAGAGAATGTAATATGCCTTTTCAGAAAAGAGCTAGTTGGAAATGGAGCTACCTTCTTAATTCTTAGTTTACCACTAGCTTCCTGCCCGTTCTTCCAAAAGTGTGTTTTTCCTGTGGAGGTACTGCTTAAAACAGCTTGCACTGAATTCACATACGGGGGAGAAATGGGAACTGAAGTTTTGATTTGTATCCTGAAAGGAAATGGCACAGATTATCAGTGAGTACCTGTACTTTCTTACTGCAGAAAGGAAGTGCACTTACATTACTTATACGAGGGTACATATGTTTGTGTGCAAATAAATGCAAGGACAAGGCTTTTTTGAGGCTTCAAAATCTGGTCTATGTACCAGTGTGTGGACTTCAGTTACCATAGGGATCTTGAGTTCCACTGGCACTCAGCAATGAGCAGGGTTGTTGTGGCTTTGTTTCTTTATCTTCTCTAATACCTGGAGATGGAGCATGTATATTATGCACGACTGGGATAACTTAGGATCTGGAATTTTTTACTTAACGAATCTGTAGTTTGTTTTCTCCAGGTTACATCAGATCTACTTGTTCAGGAATTCAGTCTTATTGGAGTATCTTTTAGTATTCGTGCACTTGGCAGAGAAGCAGCTCTGCCTTCATCCAGAGATGTTCACAGGAATTCATTGGTTTCCTACACTTTGCCATGGCTGAGATTTTTCATAACGTTGTTAGCGTTTAAAAAAAAACAACCACAAAACCCCAGAATCCCAAGAAGCATTGCCTATAGCAATCTAATTTCTGAGACTGTCTTGAGAGTACTTTCAACAGAGGTCACAGGATCCTTTGCGAGGTTCTTACATTAGTATGTAGCAATGTAATTCTTGCAAGAAGGCTTTCCTCATGTAGCTTTTGCTACCTAGAGGACTTACAGCTTTGTATTACCTCCACTGTAAGTTTTCTATTCTTACTGTTACAAACAACAGTAAGCGACTGACTAGCAGTGAACCTGCTGCCCTCCTAGACTTACCGCTACTGTGTTTTGTTGTGTCATTAATAGTGTCTTCCAGAGCCTTCTCATTTGGCTATAGGACAAGGGTAGAGAGGTAGTGGTGTGATTATCTACTTTGTAGTATGGCAACTTGTGCGTTTGACTGTAGTGTTACTGTAAGTGTTGGAGGATATGAGTGGATCTGTTCCTGAAATCCATGCATGTAGGGAAGATGTTGCTCTTGGTTTTGGATTGGAGTTATTAGGAGCAGTTGTTTCAGTATTGTGTAGTTAAGATGTGAATCTGCCCCATACAGGGTAGTGTCCGTTGGCATTTCTCATCTTCATTTCAGCTGGCATGGGGTAATTGAAACTGAACACAACTGACTGCTGATGGGCTTTCCTGTTAAAGGAATCTTTCTGCAAATAGTCTTGCTGCTTTGGGATCTTTCTTGCCTTATTAAACCGTTCGTAGCTTTTAATTATGCTGCCATCTGCCTGCAACTTGATCATACTTTGTAGCATGCTGGCCTTACCCTCTGAGCCATTGCCAAGAAAAGCTGCCTTGTCCCTTTGAGAAAAAGCAGTGATTGTTCTTGGCTTTAGAAAGGCTGCTTGTTACCACCCTAATGAAATATAAGAGTAGTTCAATGTCTATTTTTCCTGGCAGTGAAGTTTTTTGGCACCTCAGCCTTTTCTTAGCTGCCTCTTTGTTTCAGATCCAAAGTTCATTCAGAATCAGAATTTAGAAACCCTGCAAGAAATAACTTAAAATTTTAATCAAGTGCCTTTTCCTAAATATTATTGTAGGTCTTTCTGTAAATCAGAAATGAATAATCCTTTAACGATTAGAAAGCAAAGATAGCAATGCTGAGCTTTTTAAGCTGCAGCTTTGGTAAGGTGCTAGTCTTCCTATAGTGGTTGTTCTTATCTTGTACCCGATTTCTGCAGAAATGGTGGTTGGCATGACTTTCTCCTGTAACAGATAGATAGCTATACAACATCTTTTGGACGCTTGATGAATAGCAATCTCTTGCTTTGTGGTTTTTGCAAAAAAGTATTCTTTTCCACTGCAGATTTACTTTGTATTTTGCTCTTTGCAAACAGTGGAAGTCCCAAACGTGTTGGTCTGTCTTTGAAGACAACGCATAGTTAAGTCAGCATATTCCTGTTTTTTCTCCGGAGACTGTTTTGCAGAGAATGCTACTGGATGTTTAACTTCAGTAATATCACTGAATGGATGCGGGATATTTGCTCTTCCATCAGCCTCCTCTATACCCCTTTCTCTGCTGAAAAGAACAGAACACTTGCTGCTAGCTGAAGAACATGGATTACGAAATGTCCTCCTTGCTCCTTCTTCATCTTGCCATCTCTGTCAGCACTCTTTTCCAGGACTGATATTTACGAGGCTCAGTTGCTCTTAAGGCTTCTGACTTTCATGAATTTCCTTTTTGCTTGTAATAGAGCTTGCAAATATACCTAAAGGACTTGCTTTTTCTGCCAGTATCTCTTTCTGGCCTGTATCTGAGGAGTGGAAAAACTATGTTGACTAAGCTGCTTTCCTTTATCTGTTACCAGGTTAGCTTTATTTGCACATCGTGAAGATGGACCTGGTATCCCAGCAGATATCAAACTGTTCGACATCTTTTCACAGCAGGTTGCTACTGTTATACAGGTATGGTGGGTATTCTTGCATGTAGTTTGGGGGTTTTTTTTGCAAAGTTATGTGCTTTTTTTCAATCAACTCGGTGCTGTTTTAAATTTCAGTCTCGCCAGGACATGCCCTCAGAGGATGTGGTATCTTTGCAAGTTTCTCTCATTAACTTGGCTATGAAATGCTACCCGGACCGTGTTGACTATGTTGATAAGGTGTTGGAGACAACCGTGGAAATATTCAATAAACTTAATCTGGAACAGTAAGTAAATGTCTCTTGCATCCTCTCTGGAGTGGCAATTAATACTCTAAAATCTTGACTTCTGCATTTCACCACACTTGGCAAGATAGCAGAGACGTGCTTTGGATGTGTAGGATTACTGCTTTTGGGCCAAGCTACAGAGGATCATGATAAACTGACTAACCAGGACTTGCTCACCTGTGCATAAATCCTACTGCGCAGCTGTACAGCTACACAATGTGTATGCCAAGCTGTGTGTAGTCATTATCTATTCATCCCTTACAGCACTCTAGAGTTCTCCTCTTGCTGAATTTGCAGCCAGTCTCTGCTTCTGCTATCAGCAACTTAAAATGTGCAGTTTCCACTGTGTGTCCTAAAGAGCAAGATACAACTTGTTTTGATACTTCATTTCCTATCTCCCTAGCAGCAAGTTGCTTAGATGTTGTGGTATACATCAGAATTGACATTGAGGCAGACTTTAAATCTGTCTACATGTGTGAACTATTGATTAATTGTGTTTTTTGCATATATTTTCTTTTAGTATTGCAACAAGCAGTGCTGTTTCAAAGGAGCTGACTAGACTTTTGAAAATCCCTGTTGATACTTACAACAATATCCTGACAGTTCTGAAACTAAAACATTTTCACCCACTCTTTGAATACTTTGATTACGAGTCCAGGAAGAGCATGAGTTGTTACGTGCTTAGCAATGTATTGGATTATAACACAGAAATTGTGTCCCAAGAACAGGTATGGCATAAGTTAACTTGAAATTCTAGGTATTTAAAGTACTGTTTGAAGACTTGAAAGCACACGCTAAGTGACTTCATGCAGGGCATGCTTTGTTTCCTAGCCTTCATGCCCCTGCCTCCCCATCTTGGTAGCGCAGATTTTATTCCACTTGATAATTGTTCCACCCATGTTCTTAAATACCTTCTCTCTGCACATCTTGCCTAACCTCATCCTAGAGACTACTTCTGTTAGGTTTGAAGAAAGACCCTGAGTCCCCTTAAAACTAGGCCTAGTACCTAAAGAAGGCTGGATAGTACTTTTGGAATCTGAATTTCTTCTGTACTGCTGTGCTGTCCCACTTGTGCTAAGTGGGACCCTTCTTCAGGGACTAAGGCAACTATGTCCTAAAGCATCACCAACTAACAAGACTTTTTCCTAGTGCTTTGTCAGCACTAGGACTAAAGGATAAATAGCTGTAAAGATGTTCCCAGTTGCTGTCAACTTACACTTAGAGACTACTCCAGTTTAAACAGACCTTATATTGCCTTTAACAGGTTGATGCTATCATGAATTTGGTATCCACGCTAATCCAGGATCAACCGGATCAGCCTGCTGAGGATCCTGACCCCGAGGACTTTGCTGATGAGCAGAGTCTTGTGGGAAGATTTATTCATCTTTTGCGTTCAGATGACCCTGACCAACAGTATCTGGTATGGTGATCAGCGCTTCTGAATGCTTGTGCTCTCTGAACTGTCAGTCCTTGCATTATTTACTATACAAGAACTTAGTGTAGGTGAGAGCTGGAGCATCACTGCTCTGGCACTACAAATTCAGTAGAAAACATTGTGTGACATTTTTAATGGTAGTATGAGACATTTTTATTTGGAAAAGGCAGGTGAGGACTTGAAAAGCGTTCATGGAACTTTTTGGCCCATGAGGTGGCAGTTTGGGTGCAACTAGATTGGCTTGTGGTAACTCTTAATTAACATTCTGACAACTTCATATAACCATCTATCTAAAGCAGCAAGTGAAATTCAGAGCACTGTGCCATTTGCATGCTCTTGCTATCAAAATACACAACAAAGCTCAGAAAATACAGCTAATATGTTTGGCCTCAGGGATTTTGGACTCATTGCTTGGACAGGCGTACTCTTCGCTGGGTAAAAAACTGGTTGGGTGGCCGAGCCCAGAGAGTAGTGGTGAATGGAGTTAAGTCCAGTTGGCGGCCGGTCATGAGCGGTGTTCCCAAGGGCTCTGTTTTGGGGCCAGCCTTGTTTAATATCTTTATCAATGATCTAGATGACAGGATTGATTGCACCCTCAGTAAGTTTGCAGATGACACCAAGTTGGGTGGGAGTGTCGATCTGCCGGAGGGTAGGATGGCCCTGCAGAGGGACCTGGACAGGCTGGACTGATGGGCTGAGGCCAACTGTGTGAGGTTTAACAAGGCCAAGGGCCGGGTCCTGCACTTCAGTCACAACAACCCCATGCAACGCTACAGGCTTGGGGAAGAAAAAAGGGAAAGATTGGCTTGAAAGCTGCCTGGCCGAAAAGGACTTGGGGTGCTGGTTGACAGCCGGCTGAACATGAGCCGGTGGTGTGCCCAGGTGGTCAAGAAGGCCAACAGCATCCTGGCTTGTATCAGGAATAGTGTGGCCAGCAGGAGCAGGGAAGTGATTGTGCCCCTGTACTCGGCACTGGTGAGGAGGCCACACCTGGAATACTGTGTCCAGTTTTGGGCCCCTCACTACAAGAAAGACATTGAGGTGCTGAGGCGTGTTCAGAGAAGGGCAACGAAACTGGTGAAGGGTCTGGAGCACAGGCCTTATGAGGAGCGGCTGAGGGAACTGG